GAGCCCTCTCTGTTTGCGGGGATGGTCCAGCTTGGGACCTGGGGAGAGAGGATGTGGCCTTGCAACCCGATGATAACAGAGGAGACAGGAAGTCTGCCTGAGAGGAGACTGCTCGGGACACAACTTGTTTGTTCTGACACTAATGACTTTGGCCAAACAGGGGAGCAGGAAGAGGACCCAGGTCCCTCCGTGTCCACAGCCTGTCCTACCCCTCTCAACAGCTTCCTCGGCCTGAAGGCTCTATTTCTTTCTGAAGGAGCACCCAGGACGACCTCAGGGAAGGAAGAAGGGAGGCTGAGCTGAGATCCTGGCTCTGCTCGTCACCAGTGATGTGACCCTGGACAAGCCACTTAACCTCTGAGAACCTCAGTTTGCTCGTCTGCAAAATGCGGCTGATGAATAATACCTAGGGTTACCTTGAGGATTAATGGACTTGAACCGTAAAGCTCCAGGAAGGGTAGAAGACACTGAGAAAGCACGATATAAGCGCTTGTGACAAAAGTGTTCTGGAGTCTAGAGTGAGAACAGCAAGTCTTCGCAAACACCACACCGGGAAGGGACTCTGCTTCCTAAGCCTCACAGGTCTGCTGGCCCGACTCAGCCCGTCCCAGCCAGGGCCCGGCACAAACTGGACAGTCAAACAGCTTAGGAGTGAATAAACCAGGTGTGCAGCAGAAGCAAGAATACATCAAATTAAACAAAATTAGGTCTGGAGGTTAGGAACTCGGGATGGGGGTTCATGCGGGACCCACAACCTGGTTTCACGACTAAGAGGCTGTGTGAACAGCAGCGAATGAGCCTGTCACCTCATCTATGAGATGGGACAAAGACTGGTACCTGGCTCGTGGGGTAGCTGCGGGAACTAAGGGCGGCGATGTGCAAAGTGCCCACAAATGCCAGTGTCAGTCTCCCTCCCCTGGTTGCAGCTGGGGAAACTGAGGCCCAGAGAGCCGCTGGAGGAGGCCGAGGGGCTCGGCCTGCCCCACCTGGCTCGCAGGTGGCATGTGGGTCCTCCTGGGGTCATCTGGTGCGGTGCAGAGATGACAGGCTGAGCCTGAGCTCTGGCTCAGCCATGCGGGCGGGGAGGCTGCCCTGGGTGCCAGAGGAGCACTGTACCCCCTCTCCAGGAGGCCGTGAGTGACACGGCACAGTTTAGCCACCTGGCTCAGCGGGTGCTCCAAGATGGCCTGCTTGATATTATCATCCCTGACCTGGGGCTCGAACTCTGGATGCTTCGGGGATAGAGGCCATCTTCTACCTTTCTCTGCATCTTCTCCAAGCCTGAGGAGGTAGGGAGGTGACCTGGAGAAGGGGAGGCGGGGGTTGGGAGCTGGCCCAGGTGTAGGGAGGGGGGGCAGGGAGCCAGGGCTACTGTCGGGGATGAAGGAGTCTTGTCTGGCTTCTTGAGTGCAGGAGACTAGATGGAGAGGGGAGGATGCTAGGAACACCTCTGGGTGTATGGGGAGGTGCAACCTCCAGGCCGGGGGAGCAGTCTGGTTCCCATGAGGCTGCGGGGGTATGAGAAAGAAAGGAAGGAGGTGCCTCTGCTTTTGGAGCAGTAGGCTAAGGCATTTATTTTGTCCTGAAGGCCTTCAGGAGCCCCAGAACTTTCTTGAGCAGGAGAATAATGTGGTCAGCTCTGTAGAGGGTTTGGCCAGGGAGAGGCTGGGAGCAGGGAAGCAGGGAGGAGGCAGCCAGGGCTTCCTCCTGGGCTTTGATTGGTCGTGTGGGGACAGGGCTGGAGGGCCATGCCAGGCAAGGCTGGCACTGCCGTCCATCCGCGAGGCCCAGCAGAATGGCCAGGGAGCCTGCTCCATATTGCTTTCACGGGGTTTCCAGGACCAGTGAAACAGGCCAGGAGTGGGAGGGGGAGGCCTGGGGAAAGAACTGGGGTCTTCAGGGACCAGGAGTCACCTTAGTTGGTCCAAAGACCACCAGCTCAGAAAAGCTGAGGCCGTGAGGGGAGGGGGGGTGGGGAGGGGCAGGGATAGGAGGCCAGGAAGAGAGGGCCTGGCCACAGTGGAGGGAGAGGCACAGTGCAGGGGACACAGCTAGGCTTGGGAAGCCGCCGGCCACCCTCCAGGCGTCTGCACGGATTTGCTGAGAGCCAGGCAAAGTATGTGACCCTCTCTGGGCCTGTTTCCTGGTCTCTCCAGTTACAAGTTTCAGAGTTGGAGACAATGGGATTGCAGGAGGCCCCGGGCAGCCACAGCACTGGGTGGGAGGGAAGAGGGTGCAGGCGCCAGAGGAATAAACCCGGGCTCTGGACAGACGCTTGGAAACCGCCCAGATGTGGAGGGATGTGGGCGGAGCGCACATGTGTTTGGTGTTGTGAAGACACATCCACGCCCACACACACACAGGCTGCCAGCACCCAGCCTCAGACCCCTGGGTGTGTGGCCAGGAGGAATGAGGTCAGTCCCAGAGAATCTGCCCTGGACTCCCACACCAGGCCTGGGGGTCTGATCTCAAGCACAAGGCTTGGCCTTCTCTTAACTGGGATTTTCCATGGTCTGGGCCTAGCAGGGTGGGAAGGGGGAATCAATGATGAGAGAGAAGGTACTGCTCCTTCCTTGGTCTCTCTGTGAGCCCCAAAGTAGCCTGTGCCCCCACACTCCATCCCACCCCATACACCATGCCCCCGCCCTCATGACTAGGGGAAGGAGCACCTGGAGGGTGCCGATGACCATCACCTGCAGCAATGCACAGGTACCTCCTCCTCCGGGAAGTCCTACATGAGCCCCCAGCCCCTGACCAGGGAAGCCCTTCGTCTGGGCTCCCCTAGCTCATGCCTCCAATGCCTGCCCAGTCACAGCACTCATGTGTCCCCTTTGCTATGCCTCCCCTGACCCCAGCAGGGGCAGAATGTGATGCTTACCAGCACACTTTTAACCCCAAACCAACTATGCAGCTCAGGGTCAAGACCGGAGACTCTGATAAGCACCAAGTGCCCTCACTCCAGACATGGCCTTAGCCCTGGCTGGTCGCCTTTGAACTTTAAGAACTGTCAGGCCAAAGAGGGTCCCTAGAAAGCCCCACTGGTTTGGCACACAGAGGCTGAGGCCCAGGCTTAGCTCTGTCGGTGGTGCTGTAGCACTGGAAACCTCCAATTTCTCCCATGCCCAGAAGTGGGCCACTTCCAGCTGAGCCCTACTCTGAGGTCACAGAGCCCAAGAAAGCCACTGCGAAAGCTTAGTACCCTGTAAGGTGGGATGCCCTCTCCTCCAAGGAGCTCTAGGAGCGGAGATGCCCAACTTAGAGCACCCCGCTGCCAGGATGCACAAAGTCTCAGTGAGGACCAGATGCGGGTGGGGCCATCGGGGGCAGGAGGACACAACCTTCATCACATCCCACAAGGGCTCCCCCCTCAGGCTCCTGCCCCGAGGCCCCTGCAGGTTCTGCAAGTGGGATTTGGCACCCAACTTGAGTGCTATGCCCTGGATGTGAGGCAGTGGGTGCTACCAGTGGGGACACTCCTCTCCCCTAGCCTTGGGCTCCAGCAGCCCCACAGAGACAGAACCACGCTGCCCCTCTTCCCCTCTGGCCCCTGCGCAGCGGCCTCTCACCTAGGTCGGTGTGGCTGGAGACAAGCCAGCAGTCCCTGAGCTAACCAAGGTAGAGAAGCAAAGGTTGGGGCTGTGCCCCTGTGCCCCTGGGCCCTGCCGGGTTCAGCCCTCACCTGGTGAGCCTGGCCTGGCAACCGTGGAGTCGGGCAGAGAACTGGGGCACTGACTGCAGCCTGAAGGGAATGAATGGAAAACCTTCGCTGAAGCTGACTTTGGGCTTGCAGATACAGAGGCAGAAAGGGGAACTCTAGGACAGCAGAGGATGGGCCAATAGCCATCTAGCCTTGGCCAGGCCCCTAGTGGGCCCTTACCACAATAGCCCCCCTGTGTGTGGAGTTCTCTGTCTGAAGATGGAGAGTTTCCCCTTCGCTGTGTTCTTATGTACAGATGGTTTGGGCTTTCCCAAGACCAGGTCATATCTTCACATCCTCCCTTCCCCCAGAAAATGCCAGAGGGAGGCTTGTCTACAGCTCTCTCCCGGGGCTCTCCTCCAGGACCGGCACTGCAGTGAGTGAAATGAGGGAGCTACTAGCCTGGGCACAAAAAACTCAGTAACCACGAGAAGTAGTATTTGCGGCAACACTTTTAAAAATCAAGATCAGTACCAGAAAAATCTGCGATGAACCAAATATCAGAATCTCACATAAAGACAGAATCAGTTTGCCTCAGGCTCCAGTATGGCTTTGTATGGCACCGTTACTAATTCTATGTAAAAGCTGGATCTTTTGCTCATCACAGGTTTTTTAGACGTCTGCATTCGTTTTTGACCTAAAAGGCATTAAAATATCACTTTTCTTGATTCCTGAGCTTTTTGACATCCCCTTAAATTTTTCACCCCTGGCGGATGCCTCACTACCTCTCCCATCTGGCCCTGGCAGTGTCCCCTGCGGGAACTCCTGTCATCTAGTCTGGACTCCTGCCTTGAGCCAGAGCGGCCTCCCTAACCTGCTCATCCAGGCCAAGCTCACAGATGCTAGTGACTGGGACCTTGCCACACCTCCAGGGGCATCCTTAAGGCCTTTCTGAACCTGAAGACCCAGGTTTCTGATGCTGATACTCCCTGCTTCCCCCTGTGCAGCTGGCATAGGGGCATCTCCAGAGCTGGAAGTCAGGCCCTACTGAAATGATGGAGGGGCAGGGAGAAGCACTCCTTCCCTTTGTCTCCAGAGGACCCACACCAGGTCTGGAAGGTGCCTCAACCTCAAGTCCAGCCAGTCCCTCCACCCCCGACCCCTCCAGTCAGGGTCAGAGCCCAAGCCTGCCTGGCCAAATCCTGCAGCTAATGATGCGTGGACCTGGGGAGGTCAGGAAGTGGGACGCACGGTGACTGTCGAGGTGGGGGGGCCACTTAGCTCAGGGGAGGCCCACGGACCGCGCGGCTGTGGCCGTGGCCGTGACCGCAGGGCGGCCGGCGGGGCACGGGACGGTACTCACCGCGGCCGTTCTGGTTGGGCCGGTACACGCTGCCCACGCTGAGGCGGCCCTGCTGCGCGCCGCTGCGCTCCCCTCCTGGCGGGGGCGCGTCGGAGCTGCGCACCGGGAGGTAGGGCGGCTCCAGCACGCGGAAGGGGGGCTGCGGCTCCACGGCCCGCGGCGGGACGTAGGCCTCGGGCGGCACGTTGGCGTAGGGCGGGTACCAGCCGAGGCGGGGGTCGCCGGCGTAGGCACCGCCACCGCCTCCGCCGCCTGTAGCGGGCGGCGCTTCGGGGCCCGGCTCCGGGTAGGCCTGCTCGAAGCCGGCGGTGCCCTCGTGGTAGAGGCTGTGCGAGTAGCGGCGGTCCAGGCCGTCGGCGGGCTGCGGCGGCGGCTGCGGCGGAGCGTAGGGCCTCTCCGGCGCGGGGTAGAAGGCCTGCGGCGGGTACTCAGGCTGCTCCTCGCCGCCGCCGTACTCCTCGTAGCGCGCCCGCGGCTGGAAGGGGTAGATGACCCCGGCCGAAGCCACGGCCGCTGCCCCGGCGCCGCCGCCGCCGCCGCCGCGGTAGTACACATAGCCCTGGTCGTAGGTCCGCGACGCGGGGTCGTAGGTCTCGTACTGGCTGACGAAGGGCGCCTGCGGGTAGGAGAACTGCTGCGGGAAGGAGGGCGGCTGGCGGTAGGTGGTGGCGAAGGCCGAGGCCGAGACCGAGGAGGCGGAGCCCCCGTGTCGTTGCTGGGAGACGGAGGTGCGGACCCGGGCCATGCCCGTGCTGTCCCCGACGGCCACCTCGCGCCAGTTGTCGGGCACCTGGCCGAAGCCGAACGGGTGGCGCGCCTGGCCGCGCACGGTGTCCGAGCCGACGCGCCCGGGCAGGGGCAGCGACGGGGCCTGCCGACGCCGGAGGCCTCCATGGCTGCGCCGCTGCGGGGCCTGGGGAGCGCCGGCCAGAAGCACCCGGGAGCTACTGTCTGTGCGCTGTGGCCCGGCCGGCACGTACTCTGAGCCAGAGTTGAGCAGGCTGTACACCTGCCCGTTGTTCTCCCACTGAATCAGCTGCCGCCAGCGCCCCGCGTCCGAGCCCTGTCCCGGCCGCGCCTCCTGACCGTGCACCAGCACGCAGAGGCAGGCGCCCCACACCAGGGCCCCCAGCTGCCAGCCAGCTCGGGCTAGAGCCATCGTGGCCCTTCTGCAGTGGCCTGGTGGACCGAGAGGCTCTCAGGAGTGTACTCCTGTGCGTGCTTCTCTTCCCACGGCCTCGAGGACAGGACGGCTCCTTGCCTGCCTGGGCTCTAGCTTTGTCCATCCTGGCCTTGTCCCGAGCGGGACGGCTCCTCCGATGACAGCATTTCGAGGCCAAGGGGTCAGGGCAGGGCAGGGGCGGTGCCCAGGGCAGCACGACGCTCTCTGCAGGGCACCGGACAGGCAGGACTGCCTGGGAGACTTACATGGCCAGCCCGGTACTGGCTGGCCGCTGGGCAGGCGCTTTCCCACTCTGAATGAATAAGCAACAGGCTGGGAGCGTTGGGAGGTTTCGGGCAGCCTGGTCCGCCTGCTGGGGCCTCCTCCGCGGGGCCCTACGGCCCGCCGGGTTTTAGCTATGCTGCTTGTCCCACAGCTGCTGTGCTCCCTCAGTCTCTGGAGCTTCCAGCCAAGCTGCAGACCTGCCTCTGAGGAAGGGAATGAAGCAGGGACTAGAAGGGGACCTCTGCGGGTGCAGGCAGAATGTGGCTGGGGTGTCAGCATCCCTAGGGCCCTTTCCACTTTGGACCCAGCATCCCTGGTCTCACCTTACCTGCTTCTCTGGGCTTGAATGAATGAACCCCCAGCCTCTTCCCAGGACCCCCTGAACTCCCCTTCCCCAAAGTCAGTGCTAAGGGCCACCCTCCTTGTTGGTGGGCCTCCCTGAGGAGATGCTGAACCCAATATTGGACCCCAGGGGCAGCTCAGTTGCTTAGGCCTGAGTACAAAGGGGCTGGAGCTTCAGCTTTTTCCTGTCTTGGCACATCTCTTGTGCTTACTCTCTCAATCTGTAGAATGGGCGTATGCCCTTGTGCTGACTAGAAATTGTGAAATCATGGGAGAGGTCAGCCTCTTATGCATCGCATCAGGGAGGTTTCTGCTCTATGTCTCTTGAATCAATGTCCTGAGTATGCCCATGGTTAAAATGCGACCCCGGGGCTGTCTTTGATATGGCACAGCATAGAACAGCAGGAAGGGGGACTCAGGAGAGCTAGGCCTAGTCCTGATGCTGGGATTAATTCGCTGGGTGATGTTGGGGAAGCCCCTTCTTTACTCTGATCAAGGAGGATTAGACCAGATGGTCCCCAAGAGTGCTTTGGGAGTTTCTCAGTCCTCTCTGACCACGGCAGAGATAGGAGGGATGCCAGAAGTTTGGACATCTTGGTATCCAAGAAGTCACCCTCTGAATGACTCCCCTGGGCTGCCTTGTCCCACCTTGCTCCTGAGCTGGAGGGCAGAAATTTCCCTCCTGTGCTTATACCCCAAGTAGGAAGAACTTGCCCTTAACTTGCCCCTGCAGATTCCCCTCTACTTTGGAAACTCCTGGAGCCCACCTGGGAGAAGCCCCCAGAGTGGACATTCCTCGGAGACCCTGGAGCCCCAGCCCTCACCCTTGCCAGCTAGCATTTGTTTGCCCATTTCACTGGGCCTCAGGATGAGGCTTGATTCAGGTGATTGTCTACCCTCATGAACCAGCGGGCAACCATTCAAAAGGAGCCCCTCAGCTGCCCCATGTGAGGTTAGATTTCAGGCTCCAGGCAGGACTCCTGCAAGGAGTGATGGGTTTGCTGCCCCTCCCATACCCCCCCACCAAGCTAGATGCAGAGCTGGGCTCATGGAGGGGGCCGGGACCTGGAGAGTTAAGTCTTCCCTGCCTCCGGCCTGCCCCCTGCAGTGCTGGCCCCAGCTGCTTGGAATCCCTGGGGTCCTGTAGGGCCCTCCCGCCAGCCAGATGGGCAGCAGCGCCAGGAGAGGAGGAGAAGAAGTGGAAACAGGCCTCAGGGTACCCCCAAGTTGGGAGGGGAAGGGAGGAGGATGGATGGGGAGAGGACAGAGGATGGCCATGAGGTAGGGGAGTCCCAGGGGCTGAGACTGGAGAAGGCAAGGACTGCTCTTGGAGAGCCAGGGCCAGGGCAGGGGCTGCCTCAGGGCTTTGGGGCTGCGGGAGATCGGGGCACAGGCTGTCGTTCTCAGCTAGACCCTGCCTCAGAGCCAGCACTTGGCGTGAAACCCTAGCCAGCGCTGGCTCCTGCTCCGCTTTCTTTTTTTCTTAATAAGGTCGAATCGGAGTGAGTCAGAGGAGCCAAGTTTCCTGTTAGGCTCTGTTTGAATAAACTCTGCTCTGGACAGAGCTTGGGCCTCTGCATCAGTTCCCTGGGCCAGGGCCGTGGCCCTGCCAGCCGTCCCTGCTGAGACCAGAGAGCTGGGGTCCCCGGGATGACCCGGCCAGGGACCTGACTTGGCCCTTGGCCATTCCCTGGGGAAGCCCGTTCCTCTCTCAGGGCTTCAGTCTACATCTGTGTTGGGGGTGATAATATGTTTCTTGCGGTAAATTTGGGAGGATGAAGTGGGAAGATTATGAAAAGTGCCTGGCACAGAGCCCGGCACACACGGCCACTATCTTTCCTCCTCTTGCACCAGTGGCAGGAGGAGGGGCTCCTCTCCCATGGGTGTTCCCTCTCCCCACCTCCCTCTCCGTTTTCTCTGTCCCTTTCCTGTTTGGATCTGTCTCCAGCATCCTTCCTAGTCCAGGGGAAGCTTTGTGGAGGGGGGGCCTGGTGCCACCCCTTTCCACCTCTTCACTTCCTCCCTCAAGCTCCTTCTCCCTGCTTGCCTGCAGCTCTGTGAGCCGAGGGGAGCCTGCCCAACTCCCCCTCTCCAGACACCGTGCCGGGCCTTGCCTCAGTAGCTGGAGGTGTCCTGGCATCCTCCCAAATGAAACCTTCAGAGTGGCGGCTCACAGAGACCTGGGCAGGCCGCAAAGAGTGCCGAGCTTGGCTCAAGTGAGGCCCTTGAGTCACCAGGCTGGGCTGGGCCCGAGTTGTCTGGATGTAAGGGGGTAGCGTGGGGGCTCCTCTCTAGGCCTTGTCCTTACAGGCTGGGATTCACAGCCACATTTTAAAGATCTAGCCCTGTGGTTGAGGTTTGTTGCTCTGGCACTAGGAACCAGGCTCAGGGGACCTCGGGAGGGCCAGCGATCCAGGGCTGAAAGTTTGCTGATGGCATGTGACTTCATTAAGACCTACTGTGTGCTTGAATCTGGACTTTGTTGCTGGCGCTCTCATAGAGCAATTAGTGTCCTGTGACCCTGGGATGGAGATCCAGGTTCTGGAAAATCCATGCAGGAGTGAGGAAGCATCAGGCCCAACCAGCAGAGGGTCTGGGGAGCAGAGGAGGAACTGAATGTGGGACGCCTCACTGCTTTGCAGAGGGAAGGACCAGGAGGCCCACTGGGGGGGTCTGAATGTTTCTTTGATGGGGGGTGGGGTGGGGTGGTAGGGATGAGGCAGGCTCCGAGAGCTCCTGTCCTGGGTCTCCCCCTCCTCCCCGTGATCACTGGCTGCTGAGCCCCGGGCCCTGGCACCTGGGTGGACAGCTCAAGAAAGGGCATTGACAGGATCTGTGTTGAATCTGGAATGGAAGCTGCAGCCCAACCAGCCTTGAACTATGTACTACCCCAGCACTGTTTCCGGGGCTGAGGGGAGTGAGGAATGAGGAGGGCTGGTGAACTGGCACAGAATTTGTGGACTCTGCAGGGAGAGGACCACCGAGTGACCACTGCCAGCTGAGGCCTGTGCTGTTCCCTCCCAGGCAGCAACATCTGGAGCAATGGTTGGGAAAGCAGGGGGGCTTTGGTCCCCAGAGCCAAGAAAGCCAAGGGAGGGGCCCATGGAGGGGACTTCGGCCCTTTGGTTTGGAGCAGCTCTCTCTAGGGCTGGAACTCTGGAGAAGTCCGGAAGTGGGGGAGGTGAGGTCAGGACCTTTTCAAGGGACAGATGGGGTGGGGGGAGGGGAGGGAAGGAACCCACCCTTCTCTAGGACCCAGAGGGATTCGGTGGCTCTGGCTGCCTCCCACTCTGCTTTTCCTCCCAGCTTTCTGCACAACCCCCTCCCGGTTCCCTGGGGAATTGGAAATACCAGAGCTGAAATAACAGTCTGGGCACTGAGGCAAGTTTCCATGACTCCACGGAAGCAGGAAGCCCCCTCGGTCCCCCTCGGCCACCAGCCTGGCCAGTTTCTCCCTTTCCTGACTTTCTCCCCCACTCAAGAGGCAGGCGTGGCTGGGGCCTGCTGAATGGAAACCTTCCCTGTTCCCACACCCAACCCCTCCAACCCAGGGCCCAGAACTGGTAGAGGCCAAGCTGATCCTCAGTACCAGAAGGAAGAGAGGGGATCTCCTCCCAAGGCCTTCCTCAGTGGAGGGGTTGGCTGGGGCCTGCTGGGTGGAGAGCCCCTTCTGTCCAGGTTGGGGGGCAGGTGGACCTCAGCCAGCGTGCAGTGGGAAGAAGGAAGGAGCAGAGCCCCCTGTTCAAAGGAGAAAGCTGGCAAGACCCAGAGGGGTGCCAGTCCCTTGAGCTACAGCCCTGTAAACCCGGAGGAGAGAAACTGAGGAAGGAACCCAATGATGCTGACTAATAATGCCCTGGCAAGGCTAAGGGAAGCCTGTGTCCTTTCTCTTCTTTTCCTGCTTCTTTATCTTTAACTCTCATTTGGGTCTCACTGGGTTTCTCTAGCTTTTGTTTCTTTTTTTCAACAGTCCCCCCCCACCCCGCCATTCACTCACTCATCCCCATGTCCCTCCATCTCTGCAGCTCGAAGTCTCTTCCATCTGTTTGTGCTTTCACGTGGCTTACCCACTCACGCCCTCTCCGCTGCCAGTGTTTCTCCCAACTAGTCCATTTGTCTGTGCATTCCGTCAGCAGGCCCCCTGCACGCCAGCTGAATGCCAGCCCCTGGGCGGGCAGGGTGGGTGACAGAAGGTGCACCTGGCCGGTCCCCCAAGAGCTTGAGTCTCACACTTGGGCTTCTAATAAGAGGGTGTTTTGCAGGTGGTTCTGGCTAATAGGAAATGCTGGTCATGGGATGGATTAAGCTACTGTATGTCGCAGGACTGGACAGAATTAAGGTTCTTCACTGATAGTACTCTCTGTAGTTGAGTGTATGTGACCCCTGACCCCCAACCCCAGGAGTCCTCCAGGAATTCAGTTTTACCCACCTGGGTCCTGGAAGTGGGGGGCACAGGGTATGAAAACGGAGTGGAGACAAGATACCAGCAATCTCTCCCTTATGTCTCCTATAGCTTTTTAATTGCAGATTACAAAGGAAACACGTCAATTACAGGAAATTTAAAATGTAGACTAATAAAAATTTGACTTACTCTGTAACGCAGAGAAAACTACTTTCTTAGGCTTCCCCCTTCTCTGTCCCTTTTAAAAATCGAGATCGTACTGCCTACATTGTCTTATAACCTGCTTTGTTTACGTAATATTTGGTGACCA